TACATCTTTGGGCTTGAATGCGGAAATGAGATGGCACAATTCGGAGTATGAGGAGTGGCGGGAGTAGGGGAAGTGCTATAGACGTTAGAGAGTATTTTAAGGGCAGAGGTTTATGATGAATACGTACAATGTTCTTGGAGAGGGATTTGCCTTGTCTGTCTCGTAGATGTGTGTGCTGATTCATTTTGCTCGACGTAGTATCGTCATCAGGACGGCCACGACTCAGTATGCCCACGAGGTCTTCTAGAGGCAAGTCATGTGCTTCTTTCATTCCGTAGTTGTCAAGAGATAGTGCTTTGGTTTTTGATCGGAAAGCGTCGGTAAGAGCCTGTCTCGTCTGAGAGAGTGTACTAGTATCTTGAATGCGCTCGGAACAGAGCTTTTCTAACTGTTCCAGTGCCGACTGGTCCGGGAGCTCGAGTTCATGGACTTGGTATAGATCACCGCCTCCCCCGCCAGCCCCGATCTCGGGCATCTCTGAGCCATCATTTGTGCGGGTCACAATTGGCGTGATGCGGACGGTGTCTTGAGACGCAGCCGCGGAGCAGTGGACGCCTGGCTCGCAGCTATGGATGCGGGAGTTCTCATCCTCGCTAAGGCAGCCTGGAACGAACCGATTACCAAGTTCATATCCACAGAGGAAAGGAGCGTCGTTCACACCGCGTGCGGCTAGTGACCTGTATAGATCCATTTGGTATCGGTCCACGTGGATCTGGTTGTATCAGCACAACAGCTTGGTTGTTGTAGAAAACAATACGCACCTTCGAATCGAGGGCAGCTGACAGTGCCATCCAGACTTCTTCGTAGCCAAAGGTCCAAGCCCGAAGATAGAATGTAGTGCTGTCTGGATACGCTTGGACTTTGTTCAGAAGTTCTTTCAAGCCCTCTGCCTTTGATGGAAAGGTATGACATACATGCGACGGACGGGCAAAGGTGTTGTCAATGTATATGTTGTCTAGCTGCTTAATTCCCAGGGTATAGGGGACGAGAACCGGATTCCGGATAATGCTGTTAACCCACCAGGGTTCAGCTACAGGCCATTAGCAAGGAAATAAGCTTGTGGAAGCTAGTGAAGAGACTACATACCGCGAATATCGCCAGTATATAGTATAGCCTTTCCGTTCCCCTCTATCAGAAACATTACTGCGCCTGTGCAGTGGTTTGCATCGAACAGAGTGACTCTGATTGACAGCCGTGGGGTGAGATCCAGCTCCGTTGGCGTGTTCAACGGGATTGGCCTCTGTGCCAGTGAGTTTACTATAATGACACTGGTTTAAGATACATACCAGAAGCTTAGACAGATGCTTGTAATGCAGCTTCCGGGACTCTAGGATCCCTTTGCTAAAGTTCATACGATGAGGATACTTTTCGATACGCAGGAGCATCTGGGAGAAGATGAGCTTGTGCTACGGCAGATTATAGAGCGATAAGCACCTCTCGAGTCGCTGCAGAGCAGTATATAAATGGAGTTCTAAATGACTCCAGCCCTTGAAGATGGTCACTGTGAACATGGCTGAGAAAACAGGCGAGCGGAGGCGGCCTGTCTGGATTCTTGCGGAAGTAGTCAACTGCATGACTTTTTTAGAGTTGATATTCACCTATCGGGAGTTTACCAAGTTCTTACTCTGAATGGAGGGAAATTCTACAGTGCATTAGAGAGCAGACTTAGCTTATCGAGGGATCGGAAGTATACACCTACCCCGGACAAACCCATCGAAGGTCGACATTTATTAGACGTGGTTGCGTCACAATGGACGGAGGCTGGAGCGGCACGCAACTTAATTCATCCTGGGGCGATAGAAGTGTACCGTCGACAAAAGCGGCATGTGAAATGATGACGATGACAATAATGATGATGAGTTGGAAAGAGAGACGAGAAGTTGGAAAAAGAAGAGGCAGTTGTGGTGGCCGTGGTTTCCCTATTGGGAGCGTGTATACACGTGACCGACAAATATTACGAGACGGTGAACAACTCGATGGTTGAAGTAGAAAACAACTCGAAGTGTGACGGAGGAGATGATTTGTTTTCTCATTGGCACCATTGGATGACGATGATGATGAGGTTGCTGTGCCTGCCCGATCTACCAAGTACTACTGCTACTGAATCTTACCGCCACTTGCCCGGACCCTAGTCTTAAGCAGCCAGACAAGAGGATTTCCATCTATCTCTCTGCACATCAAGAAACTCACTGACCAGCCCATCCGCGGCCCGTTACTGATGGATCAACAGGCAGCTGCTCACCCCCTTGTCTAGGCCTTCCCTCCCACGAGTGAGAAAAATTGTCCTGATCCTATCATGGTATAATCCGGGGCTCTCCAGGGCAAGTACCTACATGGCCCCGGCGTGAAAGCCAACGGGCAGAGAAAGCCCTGCCCGCGACCAAGTGGCCTTGCAGGCAATGACTGTGAGGCGAGTGGGCGTCAAGACCCGCTCGCCAGCACAGGTTTCGGTGCCATTCATGGCTCGACTTTATTGGGAGAGGCGGACAACTCGTCCTTCGATGGATCTCTCCTGTTGTCACGGATTTAGGTTGGCTAACTCACGACTCCACGCAGTTCGTCCCCTATGCGCTGGTCATTTGCATGCGTGGTCCGGTCTGTCCCAGTGTGTGTCACCCGACTGGCACCAAAAGACTCCTGGCCTGATATATAAACATGATCACCTCCATCCTTCGCTTTTCCCAACCCGGGCTTGATTTTCTTTTCTGGAAATTATCACTAACGCTTTCTTTTCCCTGCTTTTCCCTGGATCGGGAACAGCCCTACGGACGACAGCGATCATCATCATCGTCATCACCATGGGCCATTCTTACTACTAGGCTTCTAAGTGACAAGAACTGACGCATTAGGCTTTGAGTCCTAACGGTACCTGAAGTCAAGACATTTGGCGTGTTACAACACCTCTCACCAAGAGCCCAACGATCCCAAAGTCGAAGCGATAAGGAGGATAAATAGAGTCTGGGGGTCATCGTCATCAGCGTCCCATACCCACCCTCATCTTCATCTTCAATTTGAACCCACGTGTGGACCGGGTTTCCATGTGTTGATCTGGTGGAGGCATGCCTTTTCTGCGTCGGCCTTCCCCTTAAGCAATCATAACTACCCGCCTTAACGACCGTTTCACTAATGCATATTTGAATGCGGGCCGTGGCTGAAACCGTGGCGAGATCTGACGACTGCATCGCGGCATATCTCCTTTTCTAGCCCGTCCCCGTTTTCCACTATTGCCCGACGATCCCCAACGGCCCCCCGTCCGGAACCAGATCTATTTGCATTCACAGTCCCTTTTTTGCATCTCCTGCCCTCGATTCATTCCTTGCCTTTCCGCTATTGAACGACCAAACTCTCATTTATTTTATTGTTACTAGCCTTCACTTATTCCCTTCCCCTCCTTTCCACATTCCAAGTTTCACCCCCATCTTTTAATCAACATCCCTTTCTTTCCGAGTTGTTTCTATACTTCTCCTTGGTATACTACTACATACCTCCGTCCCTTATCAACGCTCCCCGTCTCCAACTCTTACTGTCAACACCGCCATCACCATCACCATGCATAAGCCTTCACTGGCCCAAATAGTGCACAGCACATTATTTCCGCGCCCGCGCGCGAGTGATCCGGCTACATTCTCAGCACATATTACCCGCAACCTGGTCCCCGAAGTTCGAGTCGAAACATCCACATTCTATGGATCGCTTGACTGCCCCGAGGCTCAGTATCCGGGACTTGACTATTCCTACGGTCCACACCGCATGAGGCTCGGTCGTTTTCCATGGCACCGAAGACTGTTCCGGGCGTTTGACGAGCTCGGTCTTACGGAGACTGAGATCTCTTCCCTCTGCCGCTGGGAGGGCACCAAATCGGCTCGCGAGCGTTACGAGAAGGAAGAGGGAGTCAAAGTCCGCGATACTACGGCAGACAATATTCGACCCGCTTCTCCTTCTCCCCTCCCATCGATCGAGGTCCACTACGAGGATGAGACGGAGGAGGAAGAGGATGAACTCTTGCCAGAACCGGAATACCCGGTGGTGACATTCGAGACCGTGCGCTCTACCAGCAGCTTGATCGATGACCGGGGGATCGATTGCATTGTGGAAGAGAAAGAGGAGGAAGATTCAAGCGACGACGAAATGGAAAGCTGCGGAGTCGAGCTGAACCATCGCCTCATAGCGGCGACCGCGGCCCGCGAGCAGGGGGCAGACGTGTCACTGGACGAGGATTGGGAGCAGTGGCTGAAGGAAGCCGGGGAGCGAGGGAGCTACACCGACGTGCTCAGTGCGATCCGGATGGGTCAGCCACTGGGTTACCTATACGATACGTCTCCTCCAATGCCGCCCGTCGGAAGGGTCGGCGGTCGATCATCTGCCTCACTTTCAGAGCCATTCGTTCTCCCCACCCCGTCCATGCTGTCGAGCCGGGGTATCCAGCGTTATGCTCATCCGTCGTCACGGACAGCCCGATAGAACGGCAGTCGACTGCGGTTTCCTTTCCTTGCGAGGTTCAACATTTAGCGAAATGGGTCCGGCTACTCTGATTCATGCATTTGCGGCGCATCCTCGGTGGATATCTTCCTTGGCGATATTGCTCATTGCTCTGCTTCTCACATCTCCGATTCCTCTTTCGACCGTATAGATTTCCCGTGACTCTGCGCGTCCTCCTTTTTTCACTTTCTACAGTTGTAATACCCCCTTTGAGCCACATGCGGCACCATTTGCACATAGATGCGCCTTCGTTGATCGTCTTTTCTTTAAAGTCGAAATAAATTGCAGATTAGAAGAATGCGGTAACACACAATAGAGAATAATTTTATTTCATCATATGATATGATCTGAGAGCGTTGTGAATATCCCAAAGAGTGAGGGGGCGATTAACAGTTAGCGGTCGGCGGATGGATGCTTATTTGCTGGAAACTCCGCGTTGGGCTGGAAGCTCCCCGCAGCTCCCCGCGAACTTGTCTGTCTTTCCCCCCCTCCCTTTCCTTCTCGATGTCTCCCATTCCACCATGATCAAAGCCATCTTCTACAGCAAATTCGACACACAGGAAGGTGAGCAGCTCCAATCTTATTAAAGGTTTTATGCAATGTCATTTGCTGACTGCTTCAGGGCCCAAGGTCGTCCACCAAGTCCCCGATGGCGCGATTGTCCCCTCCGCAACTGCCCCCTCGCAGCCCCTCTTCCTCACTTTCTCCGACATCTCCTTCTTCGTTATTCCCCGGCAGGAGCTGTGTGGGAACCTGATCCAGGTCTGCACCAATGGCTACCGCATCCTGGGCTATCCGATCTGCATGAAGTCCCTGCGATACGACCGGAACGAGTTCATCTTCAATTTCTGCGTGGTGCTGTCGGAGGATGAGGATTTCAGCACCTACAAGAGTGTTGTGCAGAAGCTGGCCGATTTGATGCATGGATTGGAGGAGCAAAATGGCTTCCTATCGCGAGATCATTCCAAATCCGGTGAGGGGAAGGTATACAGCCTGTGTGAGACGCTGATGGAGGATCTGAACAATTACTGCGAGTGCATGATCCCAATCGGTAACGCCTACCCTTTCAGTCCACTGCGCGTCTGCCCAAATCTCAGCTGCTAACCCGGGAGATCCCAGACGAGCTGAACACCCTTAACATCAAGCTATTCCCCATCTATCCCGCCCCGCCGCCTGTCAAGGCATGGCATGTGCCTCTGTTCACGGTCCGCTACCAGACCTTCATGGATGAGAACTGGGATCTGACCATGCAACGAGTACGTTCATACCTACGCCTCTCGCTGCATCGCAGCCAGCTGAACTTCCCCTCCAGATCGTCCCCCACATCAATGGCGTCAATAGCGTTCGGATTATTTCCATTCTTGCCGATACAGACTTCTCCCTAACCTGCCGCGCCATTCGTCACCTGCTCTACTACGGCTGCTTGTTCCTCCTCGACATTTTCTCTTTCTCAGCCATCTATGCCCCAACCGCCCAATTCAGCTCCACAATTGCCACGGACGAAGAAATGCAGCAGGAATGCGCCCGTTACGTCAACACAGTCTTCGCCTCTCCAATCACCGCTGCCTCGGCCGCCCTGACCCCGGGGTATCCCCCGCATTACGATCCCGACACCGTCTGGCCCCCAGTCGGTCAACCTCTCACAGCCAGTAGCGCCAGCGAGATCACGATCTCCAGCCGCAGCCCTAGTCGAACCCCTAGCCCAAGTCCTAGCGCCGGCACCATCCAAGCCAGCAGCAGCAGAACCACGTCACCGGCTCCAGGAACAGCCACCGACGACGACACCGCCACTACCACAGACACACATGCCATCGAGCCCCAACTCGTCGACGGCGTCGGCCTCGTTGAACTCTATGCCAGTCTCAAGCAAGGCCAAAGCGTCAAACAATGGTACCTCCAACACAGTCGACAACTCGCCCACATCGACATCCGCCGCTTCATCACTTTCGGCGTCATCAAGGGCTTTATCTACCGTGTACACAAATACGCCATAGCAACCGGAAACCCAGCACCACCCATGAAATCCTCTCACTACCATCACCACAGCTCGCCCTCATTACATCCACCCAGCGGTCCATCGTCGCGGGGGCCCGGCACAGGCACGAACAGTCCTTACGCCACTAGTGCAGGAGACGACCCGGCTCCGATTGCACAGCACGATGGTGGGCCGAGCCATCACTCAACCTCAGTTTACAGTGGAAGTCGGCCGGCCACGATCGTGACTCTCGAAGGGGAGGAAGAGGAAGATGATATTGATGATAAGACGCTGTCGAAGTATCTCGATGGGATACATTGTTTCGATCAGATCTGTACAGAGTTGGAGATCAGCGAGAGGGAGTTGACGGCGCGGTTGAAGAGGTTTCCGGGGGAGGTGCTCATATTGCATCGATAATTACTACCTCCACTCCTTCCTTAGCCTGCTTTGTTTATGTTGATACCCGATTTGCTAATTTTCTTACTTACCAACAAACATTAAACACACCTATATCAGTAATCATTAAGTCACATAGGAGAATTGTAGTAATAAAGTAAGTAGAGTGGTATTAATCTTCGTTACCTAGCAGGCTGTATATAGCGATGCACGTATCTTCCCAGCTGAGACACTGAGTATATGTTACCTCACGAGTAAAACATCCCGATCATATCCATCCATCCATCCAATCATTCATCCCTCCCCAACGCCATAACCCAAAGCTAAACCAAAAGGTAAAATCCCCTACTCAATCATCGCTAAGATATCAGCCAAAGAAGGAATCAAACAAAACAAACGCAATATGTACATCGAAGCGAAAACCGGAATAAACGGGCAGGAAGAACAAGCAAGCAAGGAATGGATGCATCGATCAATCATTCCTGTTCCTCATCCCAGCCCTCCACCTCGGCCTTCTCAACCTCCGCCATCAATGACGGTTCAAAAACCGGCTCATTCTTCCCAGGCACACTAGTCTTACTATCCTTGAAGACCAGACCGATGCAATCGCGCCACCGCTTACGTCGATCCATAAGCGTGCGGGCAACATCACCAATCGCGGGGCGGCCAACGCCTGCAGCACTGACGACATGGCTGCCGCCTCCGGCGCCACCGGGACGGTGTTTGGCCTGGGAGCCCTTTTTGCTTTTTCCGAGGGTACGGGTGCGTTTCAGGTAGGCCTGTTGGACCTGGGAGTCCAGGTCGTCGTGGATGGTCATGTACTCCTGGTAGGCCATGCGTTCGCGGGCGATGTCGAGGAGACGGGTCTTGCGGGCGCTGTTGATGATCATTTGTTTCTTGAGCTCGCTTTGGAGGAGGCGGAGGCGTTGGGCGATGTCGTCGTCGTAGTGGGCATCGTAGTCTGGGTTGTCGTCTGGGCCGAGGAAACCGACGTGGCGGAGTTCGGCTTTCAGGCGCTCGTCTAGCTGCGAGTGGTCGAGCTTGGCGGCGGGGACTTTGAAGTTGTTCGGGGAGGAGTCAGGGAAGGCGGTTGCGGAGGGGAGGGGCTTGGTTTCGTTGGAGGTCTCGCCGGTTGGGTGGTCAATGTCCATGGAGTCGGGGTTCATGGGGCCGTTCGCCATGTCGCCGTTGACGGAGCCGTTGGCGTTGGGGGCGGATTCGTCGGGGAGAGCTCGATGCTCATAGCGGAGTAGTGAGTAGAGACGGCTGACGAGAGGGCCGACGGATACTTTGTCGGTTTCGACGGTCTCGTCGGTCACTTGGTCGATGTTTCCTCGGCCTTGGTTTAGCGGTAGCCGCTCTTTGTCGCCGTTGGGTTGGTCGACGTTCATGAGCCCATCGTCCTCGGCCCATACTTCGGTGTAGTGTTTCTTTCCGCGTCGAGGCATGATGAAGGGGGTCGTGCGATCGCCCTGGGTGGGTGAGCGATGGGCCTTGGCGAGGTCGATTGGAGAGCTCACCTTCTCTTTAAGGAACGCTATGTCTTCTTCCGTCAAGGGGCGGACGTATGGGTCGATATAGGCGAGGAATGTGTTGGCGTTGACTTGACTCGCGGGCTTGGAGCTGCTGAAATCGCGATCCGGAGGGGAACCTGCCATCAGATGGCTCAAATCACTCCAGGGGAAGCGGGCGACGCTGTAGATGGCCTTTTTCTCCTCATCGGTCATGTCTGGGGTAACCTCCCGGATGTGATATATGGTGGGGTCATCGAATTTGAGCGGGTTGGGACCGAACACTTGCACCTGTGGCACGGCCGGCGCGGGCTCAGGTTGGTGTGACTCGGAGCTATCGTCCGATCCGGGCGACCCTGCATCCTCGGCTGCTTCATCGGCCGCTGGTTGGGGAGATTTTCGCGATGTGGGGGATGGAGACGAGGCCTCTTCGGAAGCAGCGTTCTTGGACTTTTTGGAAGCTGGGGATGCGGCTGCATGAGTTAGCATGGGATCGAGGCGCATGATGAGTAGACTTGAAACGCTACACTTCATCGCAAATACGGAGTGAATGATAGACTCACCACCTTCCACCTTCGTCTCAGCACCGTCTTGTCGCGCAACATCATGGGCACCGTGAGTCAGCGGACGTTCCTCCTTGGAACTGCTTCCGCGTTCCTTGCGCCTCTTTAGCTTGCCTCCCTTTAGTACCTTCTCTTCCTCCTCATCATCGGCTTCTCGCTTCATCTTCACTCGATCTGTCCCTTCTCGCTCGGCTGACTCTTGCTCTTCAACGACCTCCTTGCGCTTCTGTGATAGCTCTCTGATGCCGGCATTGCATGCGTCACCTCGTGTTTCGGCTAGCTGGCTCAGGGTCTTGAGGTGTTCCATCAACAACTCGAGTGACTTGGAATCGGGAATCGGGCCAACTCCACCCATGCGCTCGAGCAATTCTCCATACTGGATGGTCGAGCCGGTCATCATCAGCTTGGAGACATCGTTGTTGAGGTAGCTGTGGAGCGGGGCGGAGGCAGTCGGGCCGGCGCTGAAGCTGGAGTTCGGGGTAGTGTTGCGACTTCGGGAGGGACGAGCCTCGCGGCCTTTGCCTTTGCCTTTGTTTGCGGAGGGCATATTTGAGGTGTGAGTTTGGTAGAAAGCTGTTGGACGATATGTGATGCGCGGAGGGATTGGCAGTCTGATGTGGTGGTCTGGAATCGCGTGGACTAATAGCTCATAGTGTTCATGCTCGGATCGGGGGCCTGCGGTCAACGCGCTCACTCAAGCACGCAGATTTAGAGCTATCGTTCCTGTCTTTGCAGACAAGCTCAGCACCGTCTCAATTGAGTAGTAGTTTGATTGTTGTTGTTGATGATGATGCTGGAGATGCTGATCTCGAGATGCCCGTCTCCACGTGAGAGAACATGTGATCTCACGTGTGGTCTGTATCACATGATGAAAATACAAAAGGTGCAAACGATACATAGTAAACAAACTAATTAGAGGTGAAACGCTAAACCCAACTCGGATCCACCGACATGGAGAAGTGGAGGATCTACAAGGCATACATGCTAACCCGTAGTTTACTCCATCGCACTGCAGTGATCGCCTCTACTCTTGACACAGCGAGGTAGTACAGACTACAGCTGGGCCCTTCCTTGACTTTTCACCATTGGCAGAACCAATCGTAATGTCATGGCCGGTTTGGGTAGGATGCTTGCATCTAAGCATCACCATCTATCTTCATTTTGGCTATTTTTAGACCCTCAAGAGTAACCCTGCTTGGTTCATGCCGCAAACGTCGCATTCACTGCAAACGGCATACAGACGACCCAGGATGGCCAGGACAAGCAAATTTGATCCGCGAAGAGCCAGCACACAAGCAGTACCACAGCAAACTGCAGATTTTTCTGCATGGTCGTGGCCTTGGTACAGGTGGCCGCCGCAATTATCCGCGACGGGCAGTCGAATGGACCTGACCTGTCAGCATTCTTCCCACAAGTCCCATAGACGAGATAATAGATTGCCTCTGTTCGCACACTCTCCCATTGCAGTAGACATCGTGCGTCTGACGTCGACTCTGACCTTGATCGGATCGGAATGCGGATGACGATGCTCCCTGGACTTGGATTTTAAACTGCTGGATTCCTCTTGTCCACGGGTCTCGTGCTGGTCGCACGACCGTGTCACACCATGAGTATGCTCCCCTTGCTTCAGAGAATGCTGCACATTCCTTCGATCGTGCTGCCTGTTCATCCTTCCGTGGATGTCTCACTGTCCATATCTGAGCGATCGCTGATATGCCTCTTATCTAGCTGCCAAATCGCTCACCACGGTTGCGACGCTCTTTGCTGATCCGTCCAACACTACCATCGCTCTGAATGTGCGTCAGACACCGTGAAAGTCGTGTACGAGAAGCTGACTGTGCCCCTTAGGAGAGTGCGATCTTTTCTCTCAAGCTTGACGGTACCGTTCAGACCCTGTCGAAACAAAAAGCCCCGGACAAAGGCTCAATTCAGGGACTTCTCTTTGTTCCCAGCCTCGGAACGCAAGATCCGTGCAATAATGCCACTGAACCGTATATCCCAGCCAATGTCACCCGCCTACAAGGCGTCACGCCGTTCGACGGCCGTGTGATCGGGCTGGCACCTTGGATAAGCGACGAATGTTCGCAGGCGTTTCTAGATGTCTCGCAGGGCACCGTGCCGGACGCGCTGCTCTTTTTTCTGCCGTCCAACGATGACACAAAACCGCCATCGGCAAATGACCCGGCCTGGCAGCTGGGAGGCAGCACTAATTGGCAATCGCAGAGCAACTTCCCGGTGTACGGAATCCCCGGCGCAACGGGTGCTACCTTGATGGAACAGCTGTCACGCGACGGGAGTGTGCCAAATCCCGATGACCCAGACAATCTAACTCCATCATCGTCGTCAGGGACTTCCCGACTATTTGCGGTCATAGATATAGGTAGGCTTGGTTGTCATGCCGTTCAAGTAAGAAGCTGACATGCTCCGCAGATAGTGGCGGAAAGAAGATGCCCAGTATATGGGGGTTCATTCTCGCCATTCTGGGGACTGTTCTCGTCCTTACTATTATACTTCTTTTATTCTACCAACTGGTGCACAGGCGGCACCAGCGGGAGCTCCAGCGCCGCCTGGAAGCCGGAGAAGCAGACCTGGAGCAATTAGCCCAGCTTCACATCAAGGTTCCACCAGAATTTTTGGAGACGATGCCCATTTACATCTACATAGGCAGTAGTAACGACGACGAATCGATCAATGAGAACTCCACGCCGGGGCATCTACCACGAATCACTGAACATGCTGCTGAAGACAAGGACCCTAAGGACCCCACCGTCGCAATTCGTGAGACGGATGATGAGGCGGAAAAAGCAATAGACAGCGAGTCCATCAGACGACCCTCTCAGGCGACAATAGCAGGTCAGCCAGATGCCTATGTGCAACACAAGAACCGACTCAGCCGACAGCAGACGACGTGCGCGATCTGCCTGGATGATTTTGAGCGGGATTTATCAGCAGTGCGCGAGCTGCCGTGCGGACACATCTACCACCCACCATGCATCGACACATCCCTAACGCAGAGCAGCAGTCTCTGTCCACTGTGCAAGAAAAGTGTGCTCCCAAGCAGCTGGTTCAGATTCCCACCGGAAGACCCATGGCTACAACCTCATTAGATAGACATTCCACAACCCTAGACTTACATAACACTCATGATAGAATAGACTGTACATGACAAAACCCAACCAACCATCTATAGAAAAAGAAAAACATCAAGCAAACTTATCATGTTTCCCCCGGACTCTAACATCCAACACGACCTCATGAAAATCACCCTCCTTCCTAGCCTTCCTTAATCTCTTCACTTCATCATCATCCAACCGTCTCCCCACAATACCCTCCAACTCCTTCCTCCCAATCTTCTCCCGCGCCTTGATCTCCTTACTCGCTTGAATGCGCGGTTTGAAGCGCGCCTGCATGCGCACCCGGATATTCGTCCCCCCTTCACCCTCCTCCCCATCATCGAGATTAGTCTCATCCCCACGAACCTCCACCTTCGTCCCAGAAGCGGTCGTCTTCGACGCAACAGTCCGCGCAACAATATACGTCTGCTTATTCACCTTCTTCTTCTTCTTCTTCTCCTTATCATCCACACCATCACCCCCCTGCGCAGCAGAAGACGAGGAAGCCCCCGTCCCCGTCCCAAAAACAAAGAACCCTCCACCCCCAACCCCACTCTCATTAATCGTATATATCTCGTGCTGCGAGATGGCTGATGCATTGGCGGACATGATGCCATGTTTGTCGCTGGTCAGGTACCTATTCCATGAATATCCCATTAGCTGATCCCATCACCCACAACAATCAAACAGAATGGATGGGGGAAGGGTGTGTATGCATACCGCCCATTCGACCCCTTCAAACTCCACCCCTCAATGCCCGCAATCTTACTCGCAATCCAAACCTGTCGCACATCATGCGGTTCTGCGGTCCGGGGATCCCCCTCGATCATGTTCTCGAGTGGAGAGGCGAAGACGGTGCCGTGCGCGTCGGTCGCGAGGCACGTGGGTGGTGTGGTGCGCAGGATGAGGAGGATCGGGCCCGAGATGTCGCTGCTCGTGTCGGCGGATACCCAGGATTGGTCTGAGAGGGTGTTTTCGTCGTGGTGTTCGGTGGCAGAGGGGTCTTCTTGTTGGGTTGTGAGGCTGGTGGATGTGGATTGTTTTTTGGATGGGTGGGAGCCATCGGTGGAGGTGGTGGTGGATGTGTGTTTGCGTTTCTTGGGCTTGTCGCCTTTGAAGGTTAGGGGTTTGACCATTTTCAATGGTGGGGATTGAAATTGGGGTGTGGTTTAGGTGTGTGTTGAGGAGGTGGTATGGAGGTAAGTTGTGAGGTGATGGATGGATGGGAGAGGAGAGGAGAGCTTGGTGTGGAGAATCTTTCTTATCGATAAGTTGCGCTTGGTTTTATCGGCTGGCGGTTCAACCGGGAGTTGAACCTAGCTATAGCTATAGCTACCGTACTAGCTAGTTATTACAAATAATTCATTTAAACTTACGTCTATTCTGACCTCAAGGTCCTCGTTATCCTGGTTTGGTTTAAATAGAGTCCTGGTGAGGATCTACGTCAGAATGACTCCCCGGGTACTCACGCCATATATATACCTTGTGAACCCACATTGATACCAACTGGAATGTCATCGAAAAGACCTACTACTACTACTAATATCATTTGCAAGAAGTACACATTCATATAACATAACTCATTACTATATACACCTAGTGACCAGCACTAACTTAATCAAAAGTAATCGCCGCCTTAATGGCCGTCTTGTTCTTCATCGCCTCCAGACACTCCTCCCACTGATCAATCTTGAACGTCTTGTTGACGATGCCCTTGACCTTGACCTTGCCAGAGTCGAGGTAATCAATCGCCGCAGGGAACTTGTACACTTCAGAGAAGCTACCCAGGATGGTAATCTCATCACCAACTATCACCATCATCAGTACACGTCCACCTCACGACTTAGAGGAATAGAGGGATACTCACAGATCTTGCTAGGAGGCCAAGACACACGGTCCTTGTTGGAATAAACACCATACACGACCAACTTACCACCTCTGCGAACATAGTTGATCGAGTCTTCCAGGATCTTAACACTACCCGTGGCCTCAACAACAATGTCAAACCCATAGGGGTTCTCCTCCTTCAGCTTCTGGAATTGTGCGCTAGGATCCTGTCGCGACAGCGCAACATACTCGTCACCTGCCTCCAGCGACTTGGCCAGATCCATCTTCAGTCCCTCAGGCGCGACAACAACCACGCGGCAGCCACCGCATTGGCGGAGCAATTGAGCCAGGATCTACACATTCATCGTTAGCGTCACTTCATACCTTCTCACCAAACCAAAGTGGGAGAGGAACATACCAAACCAGTCGGCCCAGCTCCAAACAACAACACCGATGACCCCATCTTGGGCGCAATCTTATCCAAACCATGCGCGGCACAGCTGGCCGGCTCCAACAACGTGGCATCCACGTCAGAAAGGTTCTTGATCTTGAATACCCTGCCAGCAGGGTATGCGCAGTATTCAGCAAAGCCACCGTTCATGGTGACACCGTGGGCCTCGAAGTGCTCGCAGAAAAGCTCATCGCCGCGACGGCAGTAGAAGCACTCGCCGCAGAGCTCGGAGTTGTCGGCGACGACGCGGTCACCGATGTCGAAGCCCTTGACTTTGGGGCCGACGGCGGCGACGACACCGACTGTTTCGTGGCCGGGGACGAGAGGGAACTATTTTCTCAATCATGTTAGTGGGATGCGAGAGGGGGTGTGGGAGGTAGGGGGGGGGGGGGTTACGCTACCTTTGCGATGAATTCACCCTCGTGGATGTGCAAGTCGGTTCCGCAGACACCGCAGGCCTTGACTTTGATCTGTGAGGGAAAGGGAGAAATGTTAGAGGTAAATGGTATGTATATGTATGGAAGAGGAGGGAAAGACATACCAGGACATCGTTGTCACGGAGCTCAGGCAATGGGACATCGATGATGCTGTGCGACTCTGGCTTCTCATAGCTGGTACCTATGTTAGCCACATCCGAACTAACAATCAGACACAGGGACAAGATGCATACCGAAGAGCCTTCATAGTCTGAGGGAGAGTGGAACCCATGATGATAATGATAGTCTACTATAGGGACCGACACCGTCAGCAACGAACCAACAAACCAGGCAAGAATCACCGAAAGAGACAAGAAAAAAACATACAGAATATCAACGACGATGAATGAGAGGAACAGCGAAGTTGGGGAGAGAGAGAGAGTAAGTATGGAAGAGTGATTTACGAGGAAGAGAAGAATGAAAAATAAAAGATGAAGAACGAGAAAGAAAGATGGGAAAGACGAGGCTATTTGAATGGCAGCCATTCGAGGGGTAAAATACCAAAGTTAACTAACTAACTAATATTATTCTATACCAGGATCCAAACCAGGAATAACTTCCTTACCATACTACGTAAGGGAACTCGGACTAATCCCCAGTGGGGATGGCCTGATGTCGTTCTCCTTCTCCGGGGATCTGTCCTCCTACGGCTTCACTACTTACTACTACGACGGGAGACATGGACCAATTCCATTCCCTTCCATCCCGTCTATGAAACACTCATGCACTCAACCCATAGGGTATAGCACTACTATCACCCTTGTACGTGAACCCCTCCCAACCGCCCCCCCCCAACCTAACAAACTTACTTTCTATCCAGTCACAACTGACCTTTGTTACTACTAGTAGTACTAAGGTAAGCAAAGACACAGTGTGACAGACAGACACAAACCATGAATAATCCCCCGCAAATACCATCGACACCATCTACACCACCACCAACAGCAACAACAACAACAACAACTACTACTACAGAGTCCAAGTCCAGGACCCAGACTGGAAGCTAGATAGTACTAGCTAGGTAGCTACCTTACCAGTGGGTCCCATCCAGTCTACCACCCACCTAGAAATCGAACCCAAGAGAATCAAGAACCAGAAACCAACCCAGCAACCCAAAACCTATGACTTCATCACAGAAACCGCCAGAACCTCTCTATTCTACAACGAGTTAAGGGCGACACGAAAAAATAAAGAGAAGGGCGCCTAATCTACCCCCACAAGCCTAGGTAGTTAACTAACTAACTACTTACAATCCGCATGACTTCATTCCCCCCCCCCACCCACTTCAACGTGGTATCTTCCCGAGTGGCCTTGATTTTCCGACTCTAGAGAGACTGGATCAGGAACCAGGGACGGGGATCTATCTGCATCCATTATACAGACAGATGGTGTGGCTCCTGATGGTGTTTCTGTTCTACTATCGAGAGAAGAGGAGTCAATGAATTGAATGACTTCATCGAGGGGAATTTCCCTTCTGACACCGACGATCGCTCCTCGAAATTGCTCTTCTTCTCTTCCAGCGCGAAACAAAACAAACTCACCGCTGCCCCACTCGCTACGTGCGGCACGACTAGCGCGGTTTCTCATGCATGCACCTCTCTCTCTCTGTGTCTCTCTCTGACCAAGTTCGAGAGGAGGCACTAACACTAGACTGTCTCCTGTCTCCTGTCTACTGTCTCCTGCCTCCTGCCTCCTGCATCATTCGAGTAATTACCGCTTTCATTTGGTCGCCCAACGATCTATCCACATCGGGACCCTCTCTAACTTATCTTCGGGCAACTGCTATGTACATCACTCTCTCTCTCTCTCTCTCTCGGTCCGATATCCCTTGGCTATGGCCCGACACTGTACCGTCTCCTCCCGGTCCGACTGGCTTTGCTACTCAACTTACGTGGCTGCCGTCTCATGACCGCCGCCGACAGCTCGTATCGGTGCCTTGTCAACCGTACACCGCGGATGCATCTCGTCTTCCCCCGCAGGCCATCAACCCGGTCCAGGCCCGTCTACTAAATGCACCCCGGACGAATCTCACCACCCCCAAAACCTCGTACAAGAATCGAAATAAGAAAACGCCCCAATACTCAAAAATAAAACTAGTGCTAATGCTGTTAATGCCCGATGCCCCGAATGATGTCCCAGACGCCAGTGCCAAGGCTCGCAATTGAAGGGAGTCCTGCTCCCGTCTCTACTTCAGCCCGAACCCCTCGCTATTCAACACCGCATCCCAAAGCATGCGCTCCAATTTCTCCCGCGTCTCATACTTATACAGTCCCAGCTGGTTGAAACACGTCCGCGCCGTCGGGAATCGGCTCGTCTCATCCCCAAGACACACCAGCCGTATCGACAGGCTTGTCGCCCCCATAGCGGGGATGCGGTCGCTTCCCGTCACAAACGACAGGATCTTCCGTTGTGCCTGCGGCTGTGTCTGTTCGAAGAAATCCCAGAACCACCGGACCACCGGCTCTGTCTCTGGCCGTGCATTGGACCAGTTGTCATACGTGGCAACTGCCCGCAGGGACGCCACGTCCAGCGGCTCGTCCGAACCGCGCACCAGTAGCTCGATCTCTTCCGGACGGAACAAAGAGAGTGCATTGCCGCCGCAGACCGTGAAGAACCCCCGTTTGAACGGCTCGAACTGCCGTGTGACCGCCGTGTCTAGGAGAAAGTGCACATATAGGTCCACGAACTCCCGGCGATTCGCGTTGGTCACCGGCCGATTCTCCCCTCCAGCGCAAAGGGGTACCGACACTGTTTCGCCGTAACGATCTACCTGCGCAACAAAGTCGTAGCAGAACGTCTCCGCAACGTCCCCTTCGTAGTCAAGCAGCGCCCGTAGACCCTTGGCAAGCGCCGGGCGGAGCTCCGCCAGATCATCCAGGCCGCACTTGTACGTAGGCCGCGTAATTGACGACAGCGGTGCCGCAGCCAGGAGCTTCTTGAAGGCAAACGGTGGCAGCGCAATGTCGAGGATGGTCGAATTGTAAATGGCCAGTCCCAGTAGGACGCCGACCAGGAAGAACTGCTCCGAGGACTCGAAGCAGTATGGATTGAAATAACAGTATTGCGAGTCGTCATCATAGATAAATAGCCCTATAAGAAAATCAATTATCTGGCATTGCATGTTTTGGCTGACAATCAACTTGTACTTACCGTGGTGAGGATCAAAGACTTCCCGGACAAGGAGCAGGAACCATTCCTTGCGGAGACCTCCCGCATCAACGCCCTCTTCACCGAGGAATTCGATGCGTAGTCCCTTCTTGATCTCCTCCTGGCTAGAGCCAACGACTTCACTGACTCCCCGCAGACTGTCTTCCACCAAGCAGTCGCGGCGCACCTTCAGCACAAGATACTGGCTAATCGCCGTGCGACTCATGATGCTGTTAAAGAACGCTTCGCGAGCTTTGACCTCCATCTGCCGGCGTGCATCGTGTTCCAGGATATGGATCTTGGCCCAGATGCTCAGGAAGAAAGGGTATTGGCAGAAGGAGAACTTGGTCGTCTTCGACTCCCAGGCCTCAAAGTCGGCGACAAGGTCGGAATAGTCTAGCAGTGTATTGTAAAAGGAACTGATCGGAATCATATGCCCCCGCCGGCTGGCCTGACTTCTAGCCACAGAACTCGCATCTTGGCCAAGGATGCCGTCCGGCTTTCGGGAAACGTTCGCATTGTTCGCCGTGAAGAGCAGAGACATCACTCGCGCCGCAGCTCGCACCTGCCAGTCATCAGTGTAGACCACGGGCTGGTCGCGCTGCTCATTTGCTTTGTTGGGGCTTCTGCCATTGATCGCCGCATGCAGCTCGGCCGGAGTATGGCCCGCGGCACTAGAGAAGCTGGGCACCAAGTCATCATCGTGCTGAGTCGACTCGCTGCGCTTCCTCCCATGTTGACGCATTAACCGATGAGTAACAAAACCCCCAACAAGGTCCACGATCTTCTCAAATTGCCCAGCCGAGAACCGCGAGAACCAGGACACCAAGTAGTGATGGCAGTCATTCGGTAAATTGGCCAAAAGCCCCAATATCCGCTTGACAATGCCATAATGATGCCCCGGGCCATTGCTGCGGGATTTTGGAGGAGGCTTTGGATTCCGAGGAGCTGGTCTTGGAGTGCCATCTTTCGGGTGCGAGGGCCTCCGGTCACCACGGGCCGCCGAAGGCGCCAGACTGTAAGATGCGAACGATGAACTGGATGGGTAAATCAACGGGTTCGTCAGTAGCATCAGTAGAAACCTGGTATCCTCGGGCCTCTTTAATGGCCGTCTGGGCCGTTTTAGCAGGTTCTCGGTCGCCTTCAAGAGCGTTCGGTGTAAATGTAAGCGCGACTCTGTAATCTCTCTGTCAACCATAGCCAGGTCGGTGGTAGTCCACTTCTGGGCTATAACGGCGTCTTCTTCCCTCTTCATCTCCGTAGGCTTCATTGTTGACCACAGCTCCACCCATGACGTTCCCGCCGTCATGATCAGGTGGTGCCACTGTGCAAGTTCTGCCCAATTAATCCGAGGGCTCCTAGAAGAAACAGGCCTAGATGAACTAGAGGTCTTCTCCCGGCGCTCTTTCGAGCGGGACCGATGAGAGCTACTAATCTGTTCTACTTCGTTCATCCACCAGGAGGAATTCTCTGCAATGTCTCCAAGAAGCAGTAGCTTCGGATCGGGTTCAAATGTTACCTCACTGGGGGCCTGAGCAGAGCTTGGTTCCGCTTTCTGCTTTGGTGGGCTGCTGTTAACAGCATTGCGCGGGGCCGGCTGTGCTGTGGTAAAGGAGCTGTTCAGACAGTCACAGCCTTTGAATGACGTGATGATATATTCCTCAAGCGATCTGAAGATGTACGGACGACTAGTAGGACCTCTAGCTTCTGGACCGTTTGATCTGGCAGCATTCCGAGGCGAGCGATCACGTCTCGGGGTGTTTTGAGCGTCTCGGGTCCTCATCTCGGAGCCCTTTCTCTCTCCATGCGCAAAGAAAGGAGTCAAGTTGGGCTTCGAGTAGTTCGGTACGCCGCTTACTCCCTCCGTTTTGCCAGTCTTACTGGATGTAGAGGAACTGCGGCCCCGGGGATCCACCAAAGGTCGCGGTTCAGACAAGTACCCGGACGACTGAGTGGGGGACTGTGATAAATTCTCATCCTGCGCGACATCCAAGTACTTTCCGCTATGATTCTCTGGTGTAGAATTGGGCTGCTGTGGTTCCAGGAGCTGTCGGAGATACCTGGAAAGACAATCATCTAGGATCGTTTTTGTTCGCTCGATAGAAAGTGGCATAGCTAAACACAGTCAGTTCACTATTTGTCCCGTAAGCAGGCCTAGCGGGGATAATCTATACCTTTACGGGGCACCGTAGGGGTGGGTGCCTTTCCATCACTCCCCGAAAGGCCATTACCGCCAGCCTTGCCAGAATCCACAAACAGCTCCAAGTCATTCACAGTCAAACATTCCGTGCACCGGAAAACTTTGAGATTCCGCGGCCAGCGCACTGTACTGTTACAAACCATGCACTTCCCCGAGGTCATCTCATCAGACGGAGTCGGACGCGCGGCCCCTTTACGAGGACTAGACGAGTTCGGGTCCGGCAAGTATGTAACCTCATCATCATCTTCATCATCGGAATCGAACAAAAAGTTATCCTTCTTCGAAATCGACCGATTGCGCCGCTTCGTCATACCGCCGAAGGGTGAGGGGAACGGATGGCTGAGTGAACGAGAATGTCCCCGACGATGAGGGGGTGAAGTCGCTGGATTTCCAGTCATGGACGATAGACCTGAACCATCTTGCGGTATCCGATGAGGCGAGTTTCCTTCTGCCGGGAAGGGAATTGCAGCCGAACGGATATGACTAGACGGGGAGCCGGAGGTCGGGGGATAGGATGGGTTATATGGGGTCCGAGACGGCATATGGGCACATTTGCTGTCCCCAGCTTTCGGTAATTCGAGGGGATTTAGTTTTTTGAAGTTGTGTCTGGTTGTGCCACGCGAATTGGGGGTGTGGTAAAAGGCGAAGAAAATGTATAGATCTCAGGGTACGGTCTGCGATAAGCAGGGGTAGATAGGGCTTCGCTGTTCGTGGACGATAAGTGAATCCCGGTTCAGTGTCACGAGGCAAGTTTTCTGCCAAGGAGTTCGTGGCAAGGAGATTTGTTTAAGTCGAGACCGTTTTAACAGGAAAAGAGAAAGAGCGTGTAGCTAATTGTAGAAATAGCTGATGAGTAAGGTATCGAGGGGAGTTTCGGGGGTAGTAGTATGTAACGTGAGGAGAGGAGGGGGATGTAACGTGGAGCTTGGTCGAGGACGAGGAAATGGAGAGCGCCCCTGGAACAAAAGCGGAAAGAAGTTAAACAGGGGATGAATTAGAAGGAAAGACGTCAGGGCAAGGGAGATGAGAAAACGAGGGATGGAGCAAGAAATGAGTCCTGGTAAGGAAGTGGGTTTGACTTCCCACCTTTGAGGGGAGGGGGGGGGAAGTTACCCAGTTTAGCCCGGCGGATGCGCAAGCTGCGATGGGCGCACGAGACTTGGCTGCCTGAGGCAGGCTAGCATAGGCGCTGACTGGACGAACCACGGGCCTTGAATTGTGTGGGCTTCAAGGCAACGTCGGGCGCCAGTCGGGGTTTCACTGGCCTTTGGGACAAACGCCAACGCTACTATTTTTATTCTTCTTGGGATCCATCCTACTGGTTTGCAACCAGCGACACTGGTCGACTGGGGTCTAAGACTCTTGCTGCCAGGTGGACTTGGAGGTCCTGCAATACAGACCATACATCACCACTCAACAATGTCCCCCCCGCAGGTTCCCAGACAGGGCTATAGTGCAGTCACAGCGTAGCGCCGTCCCTGTCCAACTCAATCGCATGCCAAGGCACCAGGCACTGATCGGCAGAAGCAAAAAACCGGTCTACATTGATCAGTCCACCTCATACCCTTAGCTACGCCCTACGTGCTGCAGATCGTTGAACAAAGGTAAAAGTGGTCGTCATACTTCGTTAAGGTGAACAATACAGTTGAACCGAGAAAAGTGAAAAAAAGGTATTTTGGCTAACATCCGATCCAGAAGATCTGTTGCATTATGCTCGCACCCCAGCAGTTCCAGAACGGCACCGTAGATGCGAGTTTTGATCGAAATAGTGACATCCACAGGATCAAATTTTTCCCATAACCAACAACCCCCATAAACACCCCATCTACATTTAACGGTAACGCCAGTAGCTCTGGGTGTTCTGGCGCTTCCAGGTGTGGCGGCGACCAGAGCGGGTGTTGTTGTAGCGGTGGCCCTTGTTGATACCACGGGACTTCTTGCCGGTGGCGGTAAGACCACGGGCCTCGCGGTGCTATAAAACACAATCAAGGTCAGTAACCTGTAATCAAGGAGACGTTCCCAAGAGTAATCATAACGTACCTTGTGGACCGCGTTGCAGATCCAGTTGATGCGAGCATCGCGGCGGATGGCCTTGTGCTGGGGGTCGACGAGGATGACCTCGAAGTACTTGTAGGTGGAGTCCTGGTTGATCCAGTAGGAGTTCAGGACACGCAGGTTGGCGCAGCGACGGCCAACACGCTCCTCAGCGGTAGCACGGAGAGCGCGCTGGTACTTGAGCTGGTTGATACCCATGTTGGTGGGCTTGCCTGTAGTTGCAAACGAATTAGCCTCAATCCGACCCCCATTGATCCAAGACGAAGAATATACATACCGTAGGTGGCACCCTTAGGAGCGGGTCTCTTACGACCACCGCGTCTCACACGGATACGGTAGACAACATAGCCCTGCTTGGCCTTGTAGCCGAGACGACGAGCCTTGTCGGGGCGAGAGGGGCGGGAAGCACGGTGGATAGCGTTCAGTTGACGGAGCTATATTGATGCACTCTCAGCAAAGTTCAACGAGTGTATAGCAAGACACATGAGGCTTCTCTCAAGTCTCTCTGTTTGTGCCACATCCATCCGCCGGCGAAGGGAAAAAAGTTCGTTTCGAGCCGCCCAGTAACACCATTTCTCTATTCAAGAAGGGCATCCTATGGCAAACTACACGAGCACCCGGCGGGATGTTAAGTGATCGCAATATAGGGGGGAATTCTCACCTCCCAGCAACGGACACGCAGCAGGAAGCGAATCACGTCGGACTGCTTCTTCTTCTGGATCTCTTCCACGTACTTGAGGGCACCCATCTGGACGAAAATCGAAATATCAGTCTCTCGTGCTCAATTTTCTTTTTCTCGATGGCTGCAGAGCGATCCGTTGTATCGCAGTAGGAATCACAGCGAAAGGGCGCGATAAAACGTACCTTGTCGGCGTGGCAGGTCGTCGATTGTCGTCGGTTGTCACAGCTGAAAAGTTGGAGGAGCAAAGATAGTAGTCTCTTCAACGACCTTGTGTGTGGGACGCTAGACAATTAGGCGAGCCCCCACTCCAACCAATCAACTTCCGCACTACGTCTCTTTTTAATGCCTGAGGCATTATAATACACCGCCTGCCCTCTTACTACTAGCCTTTTTTTCTACGCTTTTTGCGACCGTAAGGCGACAAGGCAACCACTTCAGACACTCATCCTTGCTAGGACCTCAGCAACTTGCAATAGACCCATTCCTCTTCTTACGTGATACCATAGGTATTGAAAATGAAAGACATAAACGTTGTACCCTTTCTAATAATTATAAGCTACCTATATCTGGCTCACGCACCGCCCAGAAACAAACGAGATTGATTCTATCGTCAAGGACCCATCAATGAGTTGAAATTGGCATGCTCGCGTGAAAGTAAACAGCAACGAGCCTTAACCCCATCTTGACAAGCCTATATATGGAGACTTCACAGCCACGCAGATGGTAAATATAGGGCCAATTTGGCAATAACATAATACACAATTAGCAGTTAGGAGACAATAGAAGAAAACCGATCCATTTAATTGGCAATGATCTGATGGCTTGCAGCATAGCCCGAGACGGACATGCTCAAGCCTCTAGCATCAAAGCCGAAGTCTATGATTAAGTATCAGCACTAACGACAGGTCATGAGTCTTTCCTTTTGATCCGTTGCACATGATTTCTAATCCCTTGTAAGAAACACATTAGAAAAGAGAGATGTAGTGATGGTGTAAAAGAGCGAAGTCAGCGAGAAAACGACAAGAAAAGTGAAATCTGAATACATGAAAGCGGAGCGGGTGGTCCCTCTTTAGGGTTTGGGAGACAGGGGGATAAGTTTTGCATAGGTGGCGGAAGAAGACGATAGAAAGAAAAGCTGCTCTCGATGTACAGCGGTATTGAATCAATTTGTACAGAGAAATCGCATGGTATTCCTCAGGAATTCAGGGACAGCCCCTGGAAACGGTTGTTTATCCATTCGCTGGGGGCAGCATGTAGGCGGGAGGGTCCAGAGCTTGCGCCCGTACCTGCGCCGTAATCAACGTATCCCGATTCCAAAGAGCCATAGTTGTTCGCCGAGTAGGGTGAAAAAGGATCCACAGAAGCGAGTCCACCTAGCTCTGTTTGGCGAGAAGTTTGGCTGAACGGCTGATAGGAGTCGGCATAAGCGTTGCGCAACATCCCCATCTGGTTGGCGCCGATGTCTCGTCCTGTGCCCATGGCGTCACGAGGATGACCGTAGATTCGGCCGTCAAGGGGGCGATCCGCTTGCGCATCGTGATTGTAAGCTAGAGGATTTGGAGCCGACAAGCCAGCACTGGGGGGCGTCACAAATGACGCTGGATTGATAGCCGACATCCAGATGCGGGTCTTATAGATTTTGAAAAGATCGGTAACAAGCGAATTGAAATTGATGTAGGAGTCCGCAAAGTAATAGAAGGTGAGCTTCTTCCAGTCCCTAGTGAAAAAGGCCTGTTTAGCATGTGATTGACTGTGCCGAACGACACAAGTGAACTTACATTTGGAATTCGGCATCAAGGATTTCCATATTCAGCCGATGCTCGGTAACCTTCTGCTGGCAGACCCGCTTTGCCTTCGCTTCATTTCCTTCCTTTTCACGTAGAGTTAAGATTTCATGATTTTGGGCAAGCCTCTTGATTAGTTTAGGCTTGATGTCGGCAGCAGAGTCCTGCATCCCATGCGGACCATGTGGACCCATGCCACCAATGGCGCTTCTGTTATTCAAGCCGGCTACACCACTAGAAGCATTGACCACATTCGCGGCCCCATTCTGGCCCTGTCTAGAGAACATCATCAAGCACTTGTAGTGTTCCTCGGCATACTGCTGTTTCAGCTCCCGGGCTCTTTGCATAGACACGTTAGCGTGCTGTATAGTGCCAAGATCCGTACCGCGGTCTGCTTCGACGATGACGAGGTCACCGGGTTTAACCTGGAGACCAGTATCTTCCTGGATATAGAAGACATCCGCCCGATGGCATTTGAATGTAACGATATACAGGAGCTGGTTTTGGTGCGAATGGGCAAGGCCAGGCTGGTGGCGGCCGTAGGCGTTTGGCATCGTGTATGCCTGGTGGAGGGACGTGGCCATCGAAGCGGGGCCGTCGGCGGCGCGTAGAACTGGGTCGCGAGCAAAATAGGCTTCTGCAAATCGACGAGCTCGTAAATACTCCGTCTCCATTTCATGTTCCTCGGGACGAGGGGCCACATGAAAACGAGGATACTCACGATTCTGGCCTTGAACATTCGAAAGAGGGCCGTCAACAATGCTCGCATAGTCCTCTTCTCTATCACTCATCCCAGCCCTAGTACTGGGGGCTGCCTGGGTCTCCCCCGAGACAGAAGCGTGTCGCATAGGAATGTCCGCAAAGGAGTGGCGTCGACTCTGAGGGATATCCGCAATGCTACCAAAGTCAAGAGAAGTTTGCCAATGAGCCTTGCGGACGTTTTCCAGAGTACGGTTTTGGAACGACGTGTAAGGGGGGAGCTGCTTCTCGAGGTTTGCTGAATGCTCGGAGAGTCTTCTCCGACCGCTACTATGAATGTTATTGTAACCAGGGATATCGCCAACCTCGTCAAGATCTTCAACCGCCAGGTCGGTCTCCTCGGGAACACTGCCGCGAATACGGTGCAAATTATGGATGCCACTTCCGATGGCATATCCGCTAGCTGCGGATGCAGACGACATGGTACGATCTCTCATCGGGTTGTCCATCTGTCCTGCTGCTTGGCGTAGAAGAGCATTCTCCCTTGACAGCTGTTCGATGGTCCGGGCTTGGTTGGCTGCATAGTTGCTAAAGCTACCGTCCGAACCATCTGGGCTGCCAGCGTCATCGTCATCATCCTCGCGCACACGTCCGAGTGTAGCGGGGTCGTGACCCAGCTCCCCCAGAAGGCTAGGCCGTGATGACCGATGCTGTAAGGCGGAGAATTGACTGCCGTTACGAGGACGGCCGCCAGAGTAAGGCGTTGAGGACTTGTTCGCCATGAAGCTCAGGAACTCAGGATCCAACTGCCCTACCGAGTATGACTGTGACCGATAGGTTTTAGGAGTCGGATGCAGAGGAATTGAGAATGGAATAGCCGATTCGCCAACGGTCGTACGAGTCGTAGGGCTCAGTATTTCCTCCGTGAAATAGTTACTCGCAGTAGAGGGGTTGGACATGGTCGGAGATGGGACAATTTCCGCAAGCCGCGGTGGAGGCTCCTTTCGAGACTCGGTATTCCATATACCAGTGCCCCAGGGAAAGGAAGGGTTCCCTACATGGTTCCAGGGCATAGAGCTACCGATACCAGGACTCGTGTTCGGCCATCCAGATTGGTCGGTAGCAGGACTGCTTGGGTTAGAGGCTCCAGTGGACAAGGGACCACTAGTGGTCAGTGATGCCTTTCTGGTCGCGGTAGCTGGAATTTCATTTAGCCACGACGTACGGCGAGCAGGTTTGGGCGCTGGCATGCTCGTAGATGTGGCGACATGCTGTGAGTGGTCTCCATCGTCATCAGAGGACGCCAAAGCCTCGGAATCAGGGGTGGATCGGCGAACGCCAGGGTGGGTTTTTTCTAGCCTGGCGGACACGTTACTGGTCGGAGTCGACGAAGTGACAGGCTTGGCCGCCTGCGCAGTGGATTTGCCGGGTGGCGCAGCCATGATGTTTTGATAAGAATTGGAAGACGGCGTATAGCAAGACGCAAAGTACACTGACCATGAAAATGTCAGTAATTTCCGAGTGATAGAAAAATTCAACATGGGCTGAGATGAGAGGCGTGGTTTGAAGAAATGTTTGAGAGTAAGGAAGTGGACATCGCAAGGCGGAGAGGAGAGCCAGATGAAAGAGATAAGATCAAGATATATAGAGCCATTGTTGGGGTTCACTTACAGAGACAACTGACGTCAGAGGAAATTAGATCGTGAATGACACGATCCGTGTAACGAACGCTTGGCCTCTTCAGAATACAATGAAAAGTCCGGGCTATTCACTCGAAGCCGGTAAGTACCGCACGGCAAATAAAAGCCAGGAGGAGTGGTTACCTTCGATTCAAATCGAGTGGGCGAAAATCAACGAGGCAAAAACACTCTAATAGTAAATCAGAAACCACCGTGTCTGGAGTGAATTATTCCGTTTGAAATAAGAGCTCCTAGAGGTATAAGCTGTTGCTTGCGGCATGATAAGTTAGCCCAGGCTGATGGTTGTTGAGGCAGATGCACAAAAGCTGGGACAGCCCAATGCTGGAGGGAGGAATATAAAAGTCAAAGTGTAAGAGGGACGAGGAGATTCGACCGGGGAATGGGATTCGCCGAGCAAAAGGAAATAAGAGTCATGGAAGCCTGACAAGCCCAGGTGTAGCTCGTGTATGCTGAGTAAGTTTGGGGGAAGCAGCTGTGGGTGGCGAGACGGGCAGCCACCCATGGGCCTGGAAAACGCCAGCCTCAGGAGCTTCCTGCGGATCATATGATCAAAGCCCAGAAAACCCAGTAGAATCCCGTTTCACATGCGCTCAATGGGATCATGCTATTTTAATGCCTGGATTCCAGGGGCTGTCCTGGTTCAGAAACTTCCCGGGGAAATTCTCTTAGAGGAGCCACTGAACCTGAGGCTAGAAAAAGCACACAACTGCCCGTTCGTCCGTACTTAATTCGGATGAGCTAAGAGCTTCGTGTCATACGCTTGCTCGAGGGCAGCGGTGACAAATGGAACAGTCGAGGGGCCATATAGTAGATAGCTCTCCGGGGAAATTGCGGGGAAGGCCAGGCCACGGACCACGATCGCAACGCAAACCACACAAATAGATACCGAAAAATATATACGTACCTTGTGGAAAAAGTACAAATTCAGGTCAAGCCCGGAACCAGTATAGAAACTTGGGTATCGCCGATCGTCCCAGACAAGTAGAAATCGCAGAAAATCGTGATCGCGTCTGTTTGCGCCACCCCGTGTGGTCAGCACATTGTCCCCGGACGAGCGGCATTAGGCACGGAGCATGAGGATTCACTTACCAATCTAACAGAGAATAAAACGCAACTTTTTGTACCGTCTATCCAACATAAAACACAAGCAATCGACCCGATCGTAAAATCCGTCCCAGTTGTAACTGGAGATTGTTCTCCAGGCGAAGCGACCAGGCTTCTGTCTAATCAAAGAAGGTATTGTGTAAAATGGCGCTTTGCGACCAGTCGAAAGGCGAGAATTGAGGCGAGCCTAGAGGGGCAATCCCACCAGACCAACAGAAGAATATGTTTGTTCTTTCCGTTTCCTGTTATAACTTTTTTTTGGGGGGGAGTAATGGTGGTGGTAATTCGGAGGGGTTGTTCGCGGTATGTCGCTCAAGAAGACCTATGACCTCACTGTATGTCGTGTCGCGATGAAAGGGATCAAGAGGGGTGCGGGATGGGGAGACGGTAGCGTGACCATAGACGGATAACGTTGGTAGGCAAAATGGCACCAGTAACTATGGGCAGATCTCGTCAAGAGCAGCGCATCTTGAGACTGACGAGCGACGATCACAGCAGCAAGGGGAGCGAGAGAGCCCGTCGAAGGCCAGAATTTATTCTGCGACCCGACCAAAGCGAATTAGGTTGACAGTTAGGCCCCTTATTATTAAGGCCGAGCTTGTCACGGCGCAAGAAGGGTGGATTGGGGGACGCGGGCGAAAAAGAAAGAGTGAGAGAGTATGTGTGTGTGTGCGGATCGCAGAGCGGCGCAGGTCGCAGAGACAGACAGGAGTGGCAGTGTGGCTCCTGCAACGTTGCTTGACCGATGACGATCTTCAGCCGGGGATGGGGTGTGGTGTGATCGCAAGCCTTATCGAGAGTGGGCCAAAGAGTGAGGGAGACAGGAAGGCGGCAAGGAGCAACAGGGAGGATAGTAGTGGGAAGTAGTGAGAGTGACAATTAAGTAGTAGTTTGTGGAGGAGGAGGGAAGAGAAGAAGGGGAAAGAGAGAAGAAGAAGAAGAAGAAGAGATGATGATCAGGACCGAGAATTAGCACGGTGGTAGGAGGAAAGAGGAGAAGGGAAGGTTGTACAGTCGTAAGTTGCGTAGGAGGATAATATTAATGCAAGCTAAGGGAGGTAGCTCTGGACTAGTTCAAAGTCGACCTCAGGCCACTGGACGAGACGAGCCAGGAGGAGAAAACAGCGAGCCACGGGTCGGAGCACCGAGCAGCAGTGGCGCGGGTTGAAGGTCGGTGTCGAGGGTGTGAAAGGTTGAGCTATGACCGAGCAAGTTTAGTTTTTTGGGGGAAGGGGAGAAAGGGATTGGAGGGAAAGAGGAGGAAGTGGTCGTGGTTGTGGTTCTTTTTATCCTGGTCCTTACCAGCAGTGCCAACCTTCAAGTCCGTGGTGAAAGCAAAGTACAAGTGAACGATTGTGGCCCGGTACCTTTTACCTCCATCCACACTAACCACGGCTAAGGGGGGCGACTACGTACCTGGAGCATACGATCAATTTATCGCTCCAAGGCGGGGTAAGAAAATCGACGTGAGTCTAGATACGGTACGGAACCATAGGCCGCAAGATGGGGAAAGGATTCTCGAGTGCTTCAACACAACAAAAAAGGACGAAAAGGAGAGAAAAGAGACAACCGGGGAGGATTGACGGGGTAATAGACTCTCAACTCCTGCACAACTTTCAATCTGACTACCCTGAAGAGTTTAGAAAAGGGAAATAAAAAATTATTAAATCCAGAAATGAAAAACTGGGGCAAGAGGAGGGGGGAAAGAAGAGATTGAGGAAGGGGGTTCTTGCTGTACATAGTAGTGATTGAAAGTCCGTATGTAGCAGCAAGCAGCAGCAACAGCAGCAGCAGGAGCAGTATGACAGGCAGCAGGCGACCAGCAGCAGAGGAGAGTAGAGCAGCAAGAACCAGTCGGCCGTCGATGGAACGCCCGTGAGTGGGCCGGGCGGGCCTCTGGAGGTCAAGTCGAAGATCCTCCGCGCTTTCTGACTGGCCTAAACAAAAATGCCCCGGTCGCCCTCTGAGCATCGCCGGATTTGCGACTGGCGGCCTGGTCCATTTCCTTTTTTTTTTTTTTTTTTTTTTTTTTTTTTCTTTTTTTTTTTCCCCTCCCTCTTCTCCTCTTTTCCCCGTTGACCCTGAAGCGGGGCTTCTCCGACTTTAATTTCTTCTTCTACTCACGGAGCTACTACCACTAAGACAAATACTACCCTGATAGAAATTAGCCTATAGGAGCTAACCAACTAAAATTAATTTTGACAGATCAGGTACAAAATGGACTAAACTTCTGCTACTTCCTTCAACAAGATCAACTATCTAGATAGAGGGAACGCAATGCCGTTCAAACCCTATCGGGTTCAAGAACCTGGGGGTTAGAATCTTGTTGAGGAATCGCCCGATCCAACCCGCGATGGGGCTGAGGAGGCTGGGGAGAGGGGAGGGGAAAGACTGGAACACTGAAGGAGCTTGGGCGCAACCCAGAAAGAGGCATGAACGGGGAGGATCAGGCTGTTGGGCTATCCTGAGCCCTGTTGAATCCCCGAAGGAGAATTGGAGGGATTTCACGGCCGCAGCGGTTCCAAACAACGGTGCACCATGAAACCCCCGAAATCCAATCCTCAATTCCCAGGGTTAGGTGGTCATCATGCGACCGCCAACGAGGACATTATTGGCAGGGTTTGTATGCTGATAGTATGTTTAGTCGACAATCATACACAGCTATCCAGGGTCGAAAGTGACGGCAGAAACGCCACGAGAGTAGCAGGGGAGAGTAGGGGTATTGTACTTCTTATTGCTGTGTATACCATGCGGGGGTGGAAAGAGCTATAGCAAAAAGAATCAAGAAAATATTAATAAATTCCGAAAATAATCAAGAGACACTGACTACACAGAAGAATATACCATAATTTCCATTTCATAATGGTTTTGCGCTTCTCTTTTCACTTGGCACAGTTTCTTTTTTTTTTCTTCTTCTCTTTTTTTTTTCTTTCATGCATGGATGGAATCTTCCTAGTAAGTTTCTTTGTGTCATTCCGCACTGGGAATTCGTTAACGTCATACTGGCGTTAGGTTACACGGCAATCCTGGCCGCGGGTCCAAACCAACGCGAATCAACGCGATCACCCTCAACCTTAGTTCGCTTCTCCTTCTCTCTTCCCCTCCCGGTTGCTGCACGTACCTTGAACCTGAACGATGGGCAAAAAGGTAATGATGACCCTCCATACATTGGTCTTGCAGAAAATGCACCTCCCTCTCGTCTTACTTTTCCCTGACTAGTAGTGTAGTAGACTCAAGTCTTAGTCTGACCGAACTTGCTCATCCCCATTTCTCCTCTTCTTCTTCTTCTCCTTCTTCTTCTTCTCCTCCCTAGATTAGTACTCGAATGGGAACATCTCCCTGTCTTCCCCCACCTCCTCTTCCGCCTCCCCTCCAATACAATAGAAGAAGAAGAAAAAACAGCCATGCACCTGACTGCGGGGGAAGAACTGAACTAACTGGGAGGCAAGGGATGGCGATCCAATCAATACCTCATCCTGCCATGGAGTCCATCCCTTTTGCAGGATCGTCTCCGTTGGAAATTGCGGAGAGAGCTTTCCCGCGTTCGGTTGCCAGCCAACCCTGTCTCTTCTGTCTCGTCTGCTCTGCCATTTTCTGCTATTGTTGTTATTGTAACTTCGCTCTTTCCCATCCCCCCTTGAACTTTCTTCACCACACACACACACACACACTCTCTCTCTCTCTCACATACACACCGATATGCAGAATAGTCAACTCGGATTCCGCTCGGATTCCGCACATGGAATGTCCGATCGTAAATTACTCTTGAACCTCGCGAGTAAGATGCGACACTCCCAGGGAACGAGATCCGGGTCCAGTCTCGATTAATCATAGACCCCCTTCTCCCGTAAGCGATGAGGCTTGAACCCCGGCCCACGGATCACTCTAGACTTGCGCTACAGGGACCAATATGATTAGTGGGACTCGGGGATATCCTCATCTGACTTGTCTGCATGTCCGATTGGGCTACAGCCACAGCGGAGTTCACTAACAACATCCTCCCCCCCCCCCAATACCCCACCACTAGCTGTGGCACTGATGCGTGGCTCTTCGTATCTCGGTTCCGAAGAGCAGAACATATCGCCTTCCATTGTGTGCAAGTTGGACATGTTTCCTACTATGGTTTATTACCCCAGAGGGATGGATCTATTGTCTGGCTGCTCCCGAACTGTCATGAGTGTCATCTTTTCTTAACGGACTAGGAAGATGCCTCGATTAAGGTTGCGTCGTGTCAGGAGTCCGACCTTGACAGCTCTTCCTTATCCAGGGTTATCGAAGAGCCTAGAGCAAGTCCAGCCCATTCCAGTTCGGTTTTGCTGACCAGGTGGACATATTGTCCGAAATGCCTTTCGCCGAAGAGTGCCGATCTAATCTTCTTCCATCAGTCTGTACGTCCTGCAGTGCTATGCTCGCGTGGGCTAGGGATGCTGCCGTTATGAGATGTCTGGTTGACTGCGTGGCATCTCCCGTAAGACTGAGGCAGTTAAACCACCTTGCATATCCATCTTGTGCTGATTAGTAGAAGAGTAAGAGAACTGGGGTACAGACAGTAAGCATCATGGCTGATTCATGTCCCTAGTATCAGGTGATTTGTATCTCATCACTTGGTCGCTCCCTTACCTCCGGGAGACTGGAGATTACCTTCCAACACATTTTCCATGTATCGTTCTTTTCTTTTGCTTTTGGAAGTTGATCTTTTCTTTTTCTTCATTCAGATTCTCTTATCTCACTTCCCACCGACGCTCTACTTCCACTTGCGGCATGCATTCCGCACCTCATACTACAACTCTCGCATTCCCTCATCCAGTTGTCTATTCTTGCCCTTTCTCTGAATGAGCGCAAGGTAGCTGCTAGCAATGCTATCCTGCGACTCCGGCCTCTTCTTGTAGAAGTTCCCTCACTAAATATCATACATCCGCAACCTGACTGATTCCTACATGCAATACATTCATCCGTTTCAGAAAGTTTGTCTGTACCACACGACCAGTCAGCCCATCGATCTTCTACTAAGCCACCAACAAGCCTTCCCGAAATAATTGTAGCCTAGTATGCTTATCCGGCATTCTTCTCAGATGCTGACCTTGATACATGTTATAAGAGTATCTATGACGCGTTTCGGACCGATCTCGGGATATAGCCCGAGTTTGATATTCTCGGAGGGAAAGTATACGTACTGCTCAAGCATACATGATCTGCTATAGCCTAACGAGAAGGGCTGTGAGGAGTATATTGTAGACTACATTTGACCGGAGGATGAGATTGGCCCATTCGTGGTGACAGTGCATCAAGAATATAACGGTCCAGGTGAGTAATTAGCTGCTACTATCTGAAATGGTACCTTTGATATATAAGTATAGCTTGGGGAGTCTGCAGTTTTCCCTACGAGTCCTATAAACCTTTCAGGTATACCATCAATTCCACTACTCCACACCGGGACCATTTGCTGCCAGTTCTATTCTAGAAATACATGGTATCTACTAACTAGAGTCACTCAGATATTGCCCTATATTACTAACTACTCAGTCCTCATACTATCCTACCCATTCTACCAACAATTACCAACCAGACACACCATACAGTAATCCCTTACTCCTTCTAAATATCACATACTAGTCCTAGTTAACTACCACTATATAGAGAAATCACACCCTCAACAACCCTCTTCCCTGCTACCCACTAACATCCCCCCTTCAACATAAACCCCATCTGATCCGATGCACCAAGTCTGAATAAACTAACCAAACAGAATCAAACAAATAGAAGCTAAAATCCTGTCCCCATATCCCGATCTCCCCGAGCCGATGATCTCTGCCGCTACTAAGAGCAGACCAGTTCCACTGTTAGTGTTACACTTAGTATGTAGCTAGTGTATAGTCTGGTGGGTTGGTAGGTTAGGTAGGTATGTTAGTTAGGTTTGTCGCGCGCATGCACACAAACCTGCTGTGGGCTGGGCTACGCACAGATGCAGAATGGATTTTCGGTAGTTTGTCCGGAGTGTGTGTGTGAATGTGATATCCTCGGCTCGGTTGAGGTCTTTCCCTTTCCCTGCAGTGGTGGCTCGGACTTCCAGGGTTAGGGGGAAAGGCGTTTGAGGTGGTGGGTGGGTCATTGGAATAAATCAATATCGAGAATGTCTGGGGTCAGCGTTTTCTCTACGAGCATTACAGATGTTATTGCTTGAGTGATATACTGATAGAGGGGAGATTGAGCATTGTCTGGCAAAGCTTTCTATGGACCGTAACCCAGGTGGTAGTATATCCGACGTCAAAATACAATACACATGAAATAGAAGTGATTAAATATAGTAGGTGAAATAGGGGGGTGTTCAAGGGGCCGAATCCAACGTTCCCTTGCCGCCCGTCGAGGCAGTAGCGGCAGCACCCTTCTGCTGGCGCAGCTTTTCCTCGAATCTGGCGAACTCGTGCATCGAAATCTCCTCTTCTTGGTCTAGCACTTGCTCGACTCCTTGGACTTCTTCGATCTGTAGGCAAAAGACACACAATCAGTCAAAGTCGATTTTCAATATGCATGCAGGTAGTGTGATACTCACATAGTGCATGAGCATGGACTCAATACCGTTACGCAGCGTCACGGTACTCGAATCGCAGGTCCGGCAAGCACCGCGCAGCTTCAACAAGACAATACCGTTCTCAAAGCCGCGGAACTCAATGTCGCCACCGTCTTCCTGAATGGCGGGCCGGATCCTTGTGTCCAGAAGCTCCTTGATCATGCCAATCACCTCGTCTTCTTCTTCCTCGTAGGCCAGAGACTCCGACTCGCCACCTTCCTGGCCACTCTCACCAGTCTTGGCAACGGTGTTCACGATCGCCTCGCCCGAAGTCACAGCCTGAGTGATGAGACTGAAGATCTCGGGCTTGATGTGCGCCCAGTTGGAGTCGGTCGCTTTGGTTACGGTGATGAAGTCAGGCCCGTAAAATACAGAGGTGACACCGTCGACATTGAGCAGGCTTGCTGCCAAGGGAGAGGGGTGCGGAGGAGCGAGGGTAGAGCGGGGGGACAGGTATTCGAGGAAGGTGGTCGGGAAATTCTCGGGGAGGACACGGTGGTTAGGGATGAACTTCAATGCCTGTTGGGTTCCGCATACAAGGGTCAGATGCTTGTTCTTTCATTGGGATCTTCGTGCTGGTGTGCCACGGGAAGCCTTACATCAGGGTTCGGGGTGTTTTCTGTTTGAATGAATATCGTGCGCTTGCTGGACGGCGATGGTCCATTTACGCGAGCCTGCACGAGCGAGTGCTGGTGAGGCTTCAAGGTCGGCCGGCGACGAGCCTCTGAGGCGGTGATAGCAGGCACTCGTGCCGAACGGTGGACATTCCTGTATGATCCGAACACCGCGGGTTTGGCGATCCGGGAGGAGCACTCCGCAGCATTCAGTTGCTGCGTAGTCAATCTGACGCTGAAGAGAGTGCGCCTAAGCATATTTCCAGACGCTGAACTGACAGACATATTGACGCTGTGATGATAAGAGGGGAGAGTGGCAGGTATCAGACTCGTTCCTGTTCAGAAGAATAGCGACCAGAAATGCCGATGGGAAACTCGAATCCCTCTGACGCAATGTGTCGGCACGTGATCTTCCCGACAGAAGAATGCTGACAAATGAAGAGCGGAATCCACCAATCAACTGCCGGCAGTTTGACATCGCTGCCCCAGGAATTGTTCGGCATTCAATTCTTCTGCTTGTTAAGTACTCATACAGTGTAATGTAGACTATCTGACTGGTGGGCCTAAATGCCCGTAGTACTAGACACTATATTATATGGGTGTAACAAAAATGCCTCTCAGCTGAGTTCCGCTTCGGTTATACCTGCGTTGTGCAAAGGCCACACATGCTTGGGCCTGCTACTTGGTGAACCTATCGCGGTTAACCCGGCCTTTCCTGAATATTCCTGGCTGGTGAGCGTCAAGGTCGACGTGTGGTGTAGAGACAGACATGTGGTGACATGGCGCTCGCGGCCCTGTACCTTGTCCTGCATCAAGACCAACAATGAGCTGCTGCTGCTCGCATCGACTCGCTTGCTTTGTGCCTAGTCATGAATTAACCAACATGTTGGTTGGTGATCCTAGGTTAGATCTATGGTGATAGATGGCTGGCAGCTGTTCATTATGTGCTCGGTGTAGTTCCCGTGCTTCTAAGCGCGAGTCCGACGTGCTTAAATGCGACCTGCCACCTTGGCACCGAAATCGCGTTGAACAGGCCAAGCTCATCATGAGACCTTTCCCACGGATGACAAAGACCGACGTAGACGAGCGGAGCGGTATTGGGGCCAAACCATGTCCTTCAACAATGGAGCTATTCCCAGACCTAGCGAGTCAAGGAGCACAAACACCCCCTGACACCACTTGTATTTTTGCGCTACTTCATGGACCTGAAAGAATTGCGCAGATTGGCTGAGAGGGGCAAGCAAGTGTTGCGCGCCCAGCGTATTCATATCAGACTGTGTACAGTACATAACGGATCGACAAATCTCGTCTGCATAATGCTCCGCCAGCGCTGTGAAATCTGTTGTCACATCCAAGTCCAAGGAACGCTGTTCACCCATCGGGGGATGAGTGGCACAGGACTGCGAAGGTGTAACGTCATGTCTGCGATAGCCAAGGACGTCGAGAAGCTCATCAACTAGCGGGTACAGAATAATCAATGTGGCCCAATAGATGAGGTGCGATTCAGCGCAGGCCAGGGAGGCGAATTGGAAGGGATCGGGGAATAAAGAGGTGGCAAGGTGTGCTCTCATGTCTTCCCGTAAGGGAACGTCATGAAGGCCAGTCGACGGCGTCCCAAGTTTCTCCTGCATCCTGAGACATGTCTGGTGTAGTCTTCCTTCTAGCGATAGGCAAGAACC